ACAGGTGGAAAAAATGTATAGCTAGCGATGGGCAATACTTCGAATAAAATATTTTTTATCATTTTTATGCAATAAACGTGTATTTTCTATTAAAAAATTCCGGTTTCATATTTACATACCTGGTAAAAGTAACCAAAATAAATCGAAATATTAAAATAGTTCGAAATAAGATGTTCGTAATGGTTATATATATAGCTGAAGATTATTTTAAAAATCACCAGGTTCCGATAACGTTTTGCGGTCTCAAAACAACCTAACTTTTAAGTCGTAAAATTTCATTTAAGTATGTTTCGACAAAAATTTTCGTTTCGCTCCGACATAAGTTTTCAAAATCGACTCTCATAACTCTCGCAGAAGTTGTACACGGGTCGAAGTCAACAAAGTAGTCAATTTCCAAGCAACTAAGCTCTGTCGTAAGAATTTCGCTTTCAAACTAATACTCATCTTTATAATTACTGGACTTTCCAAGAGATAAGAATAACCGGAAAAAAAGCAAAAGGATGCAACTTTCCCAAGAAAAAAGTCGGAGTTTATCGCGAGCAACAAATACAATGTTCAATGAATAAAAAGTATAAAAAATATATATTACAGAAACAAATTTAAAATTTACTTCGCTTCAATTAAATGAGTAATTGTGTGATGCTACATAAAAATAATATCAAATCTTTGTTGCAATTTTTGTAGAAAACTTGCACAGAATAATTTATTTTTACATTTTACTAATTATACACAATTACAATCTGCATCTTAAATATGAATATTCTCAGAATATTATTATTACTTCGGAGAAAAGCAGCATAACTTTCGCAATCGAGAATAAAATCAAGAATCCAATAAATTGTTTCTATAGAGCATTAATACGTTTAATTTATAAGTATGAATAAAAATTGGAGCACAGATAGAGAAAGAAATCTCATGTGTCAATAAAATTAATTGATCTCTTTCGTTAATTTGCTTATCAATAAAATTAATAACATACCTTATTACTTTTATTGGAAAATTTACTATCTATTAATATATGACATCAGTATTCTTTAATTCTCAAATAATTAATAATCGAAGATTAATTGAAAGATCTGTTTAGAGAATGCAAAAAGATTTCTGTCTTAAATAAAAAATTTTAATATTTCTCATTTCTTCCTTATTATTTTTCAGTACAATTCAGAATCAAAGAAACGAGAAATTATACGATGTTCTGCTCAATAATATTGCTTTTGTAACACGTTCTGAACTCAAAGACTTAATGATTTATTGAACTATGTAGGAAAGAAGAAAACGAGAAATAGTAAGATATATTATTCGCTCGCGATTGATACGAACTTAATTTCAAGAACTGGACTTAATTTCAAGAAGGAACGTTCATCGTGTGCGTGCGCGCGCACGCGCGCGCGTGTGCGTGCGTGTGTGCGTGCGTGCGTGCGTGTGTGCGTGTGTGTATGTGTGTGCGTGTGTGCGTGAGATCAATTAATTGATCTCATACACACACACACTCTCGCAATTGCGAGAGTAACGAGACGAACTGGGAAATCGTCTACAGCTAAAGCTTGGAATCTTTCACACTGCGTACCGTAAAATTGGATAACTTTGTCCTATGGAACAAAGTTAAAATAAAAAGATATATCAGATTAAGTAATTTTGACCTAAATTTTTAAAAATGCTTAGACAGCACGCTTATCCAAAATCAAGACAAGCCGTCTTAAAACGTCTATTAAGACATTTTTAAGATATTATATGTTCCGATTTTTTTGCAAGCTGTCCAGGCATTATCAAAATTTGAATCAAATTTATCCTATTTTACAAGGAATATTGGACTCTTGAAATTCGTATCTCTCCTGGCGAAAATAAAGATCGGAACGTAAGTTGTATGAGTATGAGGGAAAAATGACAGAAAAAACATAAAGGAAACTTCTAGGAAATGTAAATTGGAACAGCGAAGCGTAATAGAAGCATTTACTTTTTAAAACGCTTATTTTACGTGTCGCTTTTCCAATTTAGAAGTTCCTAGAAGTTTCGTTTACGCTTCTGTCACTCTCTCCTTAAATTCGACTTTTATAAACTCGCTTCCATTTTCCACTCAGCACTTTTTATCCTAAGGATGTTCTGAGGACGCCCTCAAGGCATAGAACATCTTCTAGACGTCCCTTGAAAATCTGTGCTGTATTCCGGACAATATGTTTATTTAAAAAACGTCATAAAAGCATTACAAAAACGGTTTTTTTAGAACATACTCCAGGCAACACACATGTCCAAAAACAAGACATAAAACGGTGTCTACAATGAGATTTTAAGGTGTAAAACTTAAGCTTGAAGCCATAAAAAATTAACCAGTTATAATTGATTATTCTCCTTACATTCGACTCTGATTGATTTTTTATGGCTTAAAAGGCTTAAAGCTAAAATTTTACGCCTTAAAATCTCACTGTAGCTTAAAATATCTTGAAGATGTCTAAAAGAAAAATATTTTATTAAAAATATCTAAAAGACATCTTAAAGACGTCTTGCATCCTGATTTTCGATTTAATATTGTCTAAGATATGTTTAAAGTCTTGTGTTCTCAATGCTAGAAATCTCGAATAGAAAAAAATTAATAAATCACATTTGAACAATTCGGTCACATGATCAATGAGTTTGGTCGATTCTTTTTCCATCTGAGAGATCTTTAACCGATTTTTAGCATCATGGAGAGAGAGACGTGAGGTTTTAAAGAAATCTAAAAGACATAAAGATATCTTCTAGACATTATGTGTTATCCAGGATAAGTCTTTTTCTTTGAATCTGTATCGTAGAAATTTTTGTACAGAGAAGCGCGCGATCGCTAAAATGCGCGTGAAAATTCACGACGACGAATATCACAAAATGGAGTACCGTCACAATTTAACATCCATCGAATCCTCCCCTCGAGAGGTATCATATTCTCGCTTACCTTCCGCTGTCCGCTCAATCGTCAACCCCGCCGACGCCGTGAGGAGATAGAGAAGAGATACATCCGTCAGCTAGTCGTCATACTAAACGCCCGTCGACGATCGCCAGCACCGTGATCAACACCGTTGCACACTCACTGACTCGACCGCGCGTCGCGACATGTCATCGTCGGCGATCGGCACTTTTTCTTCCTCTTCGTTTCCTCTTCGTTTCCTACGTCGGTGAAAATTTTACTGGTGAGATTAGAGAAGCGCGTTCACAGTAAAACGGGGGAACGGGAAAAACGTAAAAACAGATCGAGGGGGAGCTCTCTAAAGCGTGTGTAAATAATCGCGAACATAGTAGCGTACGAACGCACTCTGAATATAATAACGAACGCGTAATAATTATAATCATGAAGAAATAGTCGCGGACGCGCGCGCGCGCGCGTGCCCGTGCGCACGTTCGTACGGGTGAAAAAAAGGTACCTACGTTAATTCTACGCGGCTACACGGCGTCGCGCCTTCAAGCGCGCTCGCTCCACGGTCGCTACACTAACTGCCGCGACTCGACTTGAATTTCGAGCCAGCGCGCGCGCGCTGGCCAATCAGCGGCCGGCGTGCCGCTGCCCGCGGACGCCATCACTGCGCAGGCGCGCCGTTGTCCGCCGTTGCCCGCCGTTGCCGGCGGGATACGTGCGTTCCGTGCGTTCCGTACGTTCCGTGCGTTACTTCAGTCCGTTGAGGAAAAAATAAAATTCTTTTTTTTCCATTATATAAACGTTATTTTTAATTTCTTTTTACTATTCGCTCAATGGATGCAAATAAACATTTATACAATACTAACATATAACATTTTTATTTGATTACGTCGATCAAATGTTCGAAATTTTTAAAAAATAAGAAATTTGTTTTAAAAATAAATGATTTTTAACAGAAGATGAATTGGAATAAATCAAAACGGGACTTCTCTTTTATTATTATCTAAGACAGTGATAGCCAATCTTTTATCTAACGTGCTATAAATTAATGGAGGTTAAACATATTATTTAACGAGCTATTCTGTTACAGAATTAAGCAAAAAAAAAAGACTGCGATCTTATTTCTTCTGTTATGTTGAGACTAAAAAGATTTCTTCTGTTTTATAAAGTCTATTTCTTGTATTATGTTCTGTTTTCATAAGCGCCGACTTATGAAAAATATTGTGGTGGGGGGGCCGAGAAAGGATATCAAATGACCTTTTTCTCACGGTCTTTTCTTTCCTGGTACTTACATTACATTACATTTACATACTTTCATTACAATGTATGTACTACCTTTACGTGCGCGATCTCCCTATTCCCGTGTGAAGTTAGCGCACCGATTTTCAGTTCGGTTTATAAATTAATTTACAACAGCATTTACATCTAATTGCATTGTTTCTTCTACATGTGTAAAATACTTACAGAATTTAATATTTGTTGCATTATAGTACTTCGTATATATACGTTAATAATCTCCTTAAGGAAGAAAATGAACGCTCGGCTGTACACGTACTTACAGGAATCGTTAAAATTATTTTTACAAACTTCACCAACTCCGACAATAAATCCGCTATATGTTGTTCCTGCTTGACGCTTCCTTAGGCTGCATTCCATTTAACGCTCGCAACGCTCATGAGCATCGTTTGTCCTTGTTTAACATTTGATAAACAAGGATAAAATGATTCTACAAGCGTTAAATGGAATGTGCCTTTACAGTGTTGATCGCAGAAATTATTTGCGATTGTTAAAAAAATTATTGAGGGGGCAATGCCCCCTCAATCAAATTATTGGAGGGGCCAAAATTGCTATGCCCCCCCCCCCCCC